TGCTGAGCTAGAAATTAGGACTGGTAATGTAAGGGTGAGTGTCTGAAGTTCAAGAATTGCACGTAACAAAGACCACTCAGGTCATGGTTTGGAGATTACAGTAGCTGTGAAGCTTAAGTTCGCACCTTGAAATGCTTGCAGTGCTATGAAATGCTTGTTTGATGGTAGTTTATGGTGTTAGATGTATGTTAGGAGTTTATTTTTTGAGAGTGACTATAGTCAGTAGAGCTCCCCATTGTTGTTTTTGATGCAGGGTAAGTACAAAACATTTGCTGAAGTGAGTACAGTGAGTAGGTGTAAGCCACTCAGCTTTGCTCAGAGGTAGAAGACTCTCTGTTCCTGGAAAATGTGATGGCGAAGGCCTTTTGGATTTGAAGTAAGAGTGTAAGTTTCTGTTAATGTAAGAATGAAGTACATTTTAAATTGCTAATTTTCAGAGTGAAATTCCAGTGTGAAGGAAAAAAGAAAATAATACCTGATACTGATGCCTGCTAATCAGTGTTGTTAACTGTAGGCAGACAGGGATGGAGTTACTCTGCAGATGCACTGTTTATCATGGCTTGGAGCAAGGATGAGTAGATTGAGAGGCTTAGGTCTCTCTGTCACAATTTTCCAAAACCCTTGGTGTCGTACCAGTTAACATGGCTCAGCTTTTTTCTTACTCTGATTGTACCTTCCAAGAAACATTTATCTGAAGCTTTTTTTTCTCCTACAACTTTATTGAGATATTCTAAACTGATTCCATTGTACACAATCCAACTGTATTCCTTCTGGTGAGACTTAGCTGGACATCTCTCTCAAATGATTTATGACCCATTCCTAGTTTCCTCATTGGATAGAGCAAGTGATTTAAGAGATGTAGTAACAGTCCATCATTACCTTGGGGGCAAATAATTGCTCATAAATACAGTACTTTCTGTCTCCTTTGTTCTCATAGCATTGAATATTTTATCGACTCAGCTAGTAAGGCTTCATGCTTGGAAATAGAGAAGTGTGAGGAAAACAGAAACACATATATCAACTTTCATGCAGTGAATCAAAAGGCATTCAGAGTCTCCTGCAGGCTGTGAACCCAGTGAAATAATTGGGAAAGAATTTCAGTAACTGAGTGAGAAGGATGAAGTTTGGCTTCCTGTCTGTGTAATTTTCAAAGCCAAACTTCATCCTTCTCGTAAGATAAGACTGACTTAAAAAAAAAAGTATATAGACCCCATAGCAAAGAAATCAGAATTTCTCTCATAAAAGAGGGAAAAATATGGAAAACTCTGTGAAGGAGAAATTTTTTTATGTGGTTGACCAGCAGATGGTACATGGTGGGAAGGATTTTTTTAATCTGTCTTTAAGCATCTGCTCTAGGTGCATAAGATGATAAGCTAATCTTTTTAAGCCTCTGCATGCAGATTTATATTATCTATAGTAATATGGTTATTTTTAACAACTAGACCAGTAGTGTCATAGATTAGGCAGGGATGCTTCAGCACACGGTGTTAGAGAATCATGGACTACTTTGCAGAATGAAAGGGATGTTGGTACAATTATATGGAGAGAGAACCAAGTGAAATATCTGAAAAAAATTCCAGTGAGATGGATAGCTCAGGGAAATGGCCTCCCATGTGAAGTGTTTTTTCATACTTCAAGTTTGCCAGACAAAATGCAAGTAAATACAAAACTGGAAGGAAGCCGTCTACTGGATGGGGAAAACAACCTAGATTATTTAATAGACTTTTAGTGTCTGTAACATCTGGATTCAGGGAGATAATCTGAGCTAGTGGCATTCTGGTGCTAAATCAGGAAATCTGGGAATTCACAAAACACACAGCTACACCAGTTGCATTGGAAGGTGACATGCAGTGAAACTGGTAGACACTCACCAAACAACATGCAGCTTTCGTTAAATTTAAAATAATATAATCATTGGACTGGAGGAGACCTCAGAAGGGGACTTAAATCATCCCATCAGTCATTAACAGCTGTCTGTCTAGTCTTCTCCAGTGGTAGAGATGCCACAACCTTCTGGTTGCTCTGTTCCAGTTCCTCATGATCTCAGCCGTCACCTGAAAGTTCCAGAATGTGAGCTCAATACTACCTCCCCTATCCACTACAGCCAGGAAGCCCATTTGAAGACTGTATCCTACAGCCTCTCTTGCTCATGCTTCCTCCTTTGGCCCGCTCCTAACTTCAAAATTTCTTTATCAAAGAAGGGTTTAAATCCTTCATCTCTCCCTGTGGGTCATGTTTATGACAGGTCTAATCATCCTAGTTGCACGATCTTCAGTTGTTTCAAAACTTTCTTCATGGTAACCCACACAGAACTGTAGCTTCAGTCTTACCAAAACTGAGAAAACAGAAGGAAAACTTTGGTTTGGATATCTGCCTATTTGTGTACCTTGGTGTGGCATCTGCTATTTTCATAACAGCACTACCTCATGGACTCCTGTTCAGATTGACCCACTGTAATAACTACTGTATAGTTTTTTTAAACCTGCTATATAGGCTATATCTTTCTCTTTCTAGGTGGTTGATTATTTATGTCCAAATTTAGTTTTCAGTTGTCCCCATAGGAATTTAATCCTGTTTTTTTCTGTCTGTTTATTCCATTTGACTGGTGATTCAGTTGCCAAACAATAAATTGGGACCAGTGGCTCATTATGCCATACCCCAAGGCAATTAAACTTGCACTTTATTTAAAAGGATCAAGATTCTATGTGAAAGTAAAAAAAAAAAAAGAGCACAGATAGTTGTTCTTGGTTGTGTAGAAATGGAGCACTCTTTGTATCTGTAAGTTAACACTCTGGCTTTTCAATGCTTTTTAATATAAACCTGAGGCATACTTAAACAGTATTTTTAAGCATTTACTTCAAGACTTAGCTGTGGTTTATAGCTGATGAGCATCCTGCCCTACATTTCTTAGAGACTGTAGTAGAAAAGAACTTGAAGCATTGGTGCAATTAGGTGGCAAGTGGAGCAGAAGTCTTGTCAGTCCTCATTGCTGAGTGTTGCTGTAATGGCTCTCACGGGGGGTGTATTTGTGTTGGAAAGAAATACTCTATTCTCTTCTATTTGAAATATCTTTCTTAGGTACAGTTACTCCGTTCTCGTTAGCCACATCCTCCACGGGACTTGAACAGGTACAAGAAAATTGCTAGTTTAATCGAACAGCTTCACCTTCAAAATACTTGGCCAGCCTATCTTCAGATGTCAAAAAAGCTGCTGGCTGATATTCACAAGAATTACCTAAGCAGAAATTAGTTGCCACTGTTACTCCCTCTCTCCCTTCCCCACTTTAATTCTGGGTTATGTTCACCCTTTCTTTTGTCTGACTGGTAGACTGGGTTGTAACTTCCCAGGAGGGTACTGGACTGCTTAGAGTTTGCACCGCACCAAAAGGACTTGCTGTGAACAGCTGACCTACCTGTGGCCTTTGGAACTTGCCACAGTGCAAATAGCAATGACAGACTAGTCAGTGGGCAGAAATGGTGGGAAGGTTCAGTGTGCAGTTGTAAGAATTCAGTTGGGCAACTAAGGGTTAGAAGAGAAAAAAAATCAGGAAAGGTGAATGAAGGGTGTGGTGAAGTTTGAAGTATGTATCCTGTACTCATGGAATTCTATCTGTAAATTCATCCCCCACACAGGCTATTTTTCTTCTGTAAATTATGATCAATTCAGTAAATAGGTTTTCCATAACAAAAAGATACCCCTCTCTAGTAAAACAGCATGTAAAATACCCAATTCTAGTTTTTCTTGAAATGAAGACTTCCAAAGTTGAGAATAAGGAACTGTAATTTGTGATGTATGTTTTTTCCTCAAGGATCAATAAATAGTTCTTGGCTTAGCAATGTATTTAATTAATGTGAGATTAAACATTATCTGCCATGTTGTATTGTTATCACTGTCTTTTTACTGAATGAAATGTTTGTATAACTACATATGATAATATTTTAGGGTAAATGAGGTTTTTACTGGAATGGTTTGCCTTGTTTAAACATGAAACCATATTGACTTCAAGGGAAGGGTCTTCTCATTCGAACAAAGAACTCTAGTCATTTTTTATCATGTTGTCCACTTCCTCTGTCCATTGCAGAACTTGTAAATTGGCATGAGGCCTTCGGGAATTAATTAAAGTTGAATTTAGGAAGGTTGTTCACTTTATACATGTGTGAAGTATAATTAAGTGTTGATTTTAGTTTAGCTGAAGTATTTTAGCATTGAAGAAGCTGAAGCATAAGAGAATGTGAAGATAATAATATTAGCTATCTTAATTATGCACATTTTATTTCTCAGGTTCTAGAAAGAGTATCATGTAGTTTAAGAAGTTTCTTGAGTTTGGGGTTTTTTCTTAAAAAAAAAAAAAAAAAAAAAAAAGAGGTTGACTTCTTGACAGACTGTTGAGAATAACTTTGCAGTTTACCTGAATTGAAAATTGATCTTTGAATAATTTATGAAATTATTTGGAACACACATTGATCTGTATTTTGAGTGGCATTTGTTAGTTTTAGTTGCAGCCCTGTTCATATTTTCCATTCATGTTTGTGTACATCAATTAAAAAAAAAATATTTTTTTTTAAAAATACCCTCAGAGATCGATAATGAGTCCCAGAATATATCACTGTGCTGAACTTTCTTTGAATGTATTTACTAGGAAATTCTTGGAAGGGAAAGGACCATAAACTTCACATATCCATGGGAAAAGCAGATGGCACAAGTAGTCTCTCAAAATCTGTATCCTTGGGATTTGGCGTGAGTTTGGCATACGGGGTGCTCCCAGTATGAAAAAAAACTGTGTGACATCTTTCTGGTACTTCTGCATCTAGTTGATGCCAAACAACATAAATTTGTGGGACATGAAAACAAAACAGTTGAGGGGGCAGGGATTTAGTTAATGTTGCTTCTGTATGGATTAGTCGTTTTATTCAGTTGAGTTGTTCTGTGCCTAATTTGCATGGATATTATTTACTTTCAGTTTTTTAATAATGTAATAGGGTTCTTTGTTTCATTTGAAGGGGTAGAGGACCACTGAAGAACACATCTGATGTAATTAATGCAGCAAAAATGATTTCAGAGTCAGGATCAAGGATGGATGTCCTAGCTCGGCTGATTGCCAATCAGGTAGGTTATTTATGCAGTAGTGCATTAAACTTTGTCACAGATTAATTGGTCCACACCCCCAACACCTGAGAAGGTCATTTAGAAAAGTACTTGTGATGTTTTTAAATCTCACTACCTGATTTTCCTTTTCTTCTCAGTTTCTGAAGTGATGGATACATCCATCCTGTCTCAACTGCATGTGCGGATTCTCCTCTTCGTACATACCAGTGTGCCTGTTTATATACACTTAAAAACACACATAAATGTATGTGTACATATATCACAGATGTATATGTACATATATTTATGTACATATGTATTTTTACATAGAAGTGTATTTGTGTGTTCAAGTGCTCCTTCAAGCTGTGAATGCAACATTTTAGACATATATATGAATATACATATGAGTATATATATTCATAGCTCCTTTAAACTATGAACACATTTTAGATGTATAGTCTAGTCCATTCTTGACTTCCTTGCATAAATTACACAGAAACAACTTCAGCTGTGCTGAGTGGGCTTACTGTTTTGGTGCTGAGTCTCAGCACCATGCTTAGGAAGGTTACAGACTTTTCTGCTCTGTCTTTGAAATTACTTATTTTCCACCCTAATCTATCTATATAGTTACAGAATTTGTGCTTTTGTTGTACCTGGGTTACCTTTCTTCCATCTCTGGCCATTCTTCCCAACACTGGCCATTTCTTTGGAGTATTGATGCCAAATGGTTTTCCATGTAAATATCCTTTTGGCTAGTCAAGAGTTTTTGGCCTCTTCATACCTGCAGTCTCGAGATGATTTTTTAGCATTTAAAAGAAATATGTATCGTCATCAAATGCAGAGTGTTACAGCTCTAAGGTCTACCTTATTTCCACTGGATTTTTAAAGCATTAGATATCTAAAAAACCCCCACCAAAAAGCCCAAACCAGGATCTATGTAAATGGATAAGCAAGCTCATTTTCCTGGCTAAGACAGCTGCATAGTAGCTTAGTAAACGAGTACACCAAGCAACTCGTCATATGCAGCCCTCTTTCTTTAATACTTAAGGCTGGTTGGTTTAGGGACAGATAGTATCAGCAGAACAGTCTAGTGTAAATGTCCCTGTGCAAGTATCACACCTGAAGCATTTTTGTTCCTTTTGTGCCTTTTAGGCATCTAAAGTAGCATGGTATAGTTACCATCTTCCACACCCTTATGTACTCTCTTCCCCTCACTTCTGATTTTCATATACACACTTGCTTTTCTATGAAGCAGCAGCAGCAAGTGTTTTCTCTCATACATCTCTCTGAATACCAGCTAACAAGACAAAGAATTTTTATTCTTGACCTATACAGTTGTGATCTGATTGGTGGAAAAAATACATAAAATGTCTTGAGTCCCTATTTCTGCTCAACAGATGTTCTTCCAGCACATCTCGCTTTTTAAGAGCATTGGAGAATGGCTCTTTTCAAGATTTTATCAACTAAAAATTAAAATTAAAAACCATACTTGTCACTGATCTATTGCAGAAAAACAGTGTGGTATCAAAGCCCAAGATGAGTAAGGGTCGTAATATCTTGCTCTTTTTAGTACAGGGATTCCAGTCTCACTGAAATAGTCCTCCTGTAATTTTCCTTTCTCTGTATTATTACAGTGACTCCAGACTAGAAACGTGAACAAATTAGTGTGATACAAAAGTATCATTAGTGCTAATAATTTGTGTGTACCGTCGTAGCTGCTGGGAGATGTGACATCATTCAAGTTATTGTAACCTTTTTACTGGATTCACTCAAATTATTTCCATTTGTCCTAGCTCAGAGCTTGCACACAGTTGATACCCTTGAGCCACCAAACTCCTGGTATTTATTCCATGTGGCATTTTGTATGCATCTGAAATATACTAGTCAATTATAAATGTTGCTTGTATTTTAGATGTAATTTCACGTTACAAGCACTAGAAGTAAATGAGCATATACAATTTAAAAAAAAAAACTAAAGCAGCCCTTCCAGTACCTCTGTGGTGAACAAAACTACAGCCATTGCTTGACATGTGTCAGACTAAGTAAATAAGAGGATCTTGTCTTTACTCTTCCTATTGCAAAAATGCTTAATATGATTCTTTCATTCCTCAGATGGCTAGAAATCTTTTATAACCTTTTTTCCCTGTGCCAAGTCATCCTTTAACTTACAGAGCTCTTTTCTCACAGTGTTGTTTTGGTTTGGTTTGGTTTTTTAATCTCCAAGGTATTTATAAAGACCAATAATTCCTTTTCTCAGCTGTTGGCCAAATTGCCTATGCCTTGTTCTCTTATGGTCCTAAAATAACATAAACTTTACATTCCTTTGGGCTGCCTAGTAGCTTTCCTCTGAATTTGCTCCAAACTGACCAAATCCTTCAAGAATTTGGTGCCCAGACTGGAACGTGAATTCTAATTAGGTTTTACAAGTGCCTTTCTCAGCAGCATTAATACTTCTGGTGGAAATATTTCACCTGTTGCCTTTTAGTAACATTTAAATTATGTGGGATTTTTATTTCCTGTAAAATGGATTTGTACTATTTGCTTCAAAAGTGAAAACAGATACATTGTACCAATTTTCAAGTAACTTCTAAGGTACAGGTCCTTGCATTCTTCCTGCACATACTTTTTTTGACACTTTTTCGTCACTTGGTATTGAGCTTAGGCTACCCTAAAGTATTTGTTAGCACTTCTGAGACTGTCATTTAACTAGGCCACATCACTTTACTGTTCACAGTTGTCCCATTTATAACTCTGTTTTTGCAGTTAACAGGACTGCAGTAATGTAAGATTAGTATTTTCAGTGTTCAGAGCTACATGCAAGAAAGAAAAACAAAAACTTTGCTCTGTTTCCTCCATCTAACTTCACACCTGAGCAAGAACCCAAAATAAGCAATCACTGCATAATGAAGAGTCATTGCTGTATCTCTTTGACCAGTTCCTGTTCATGAAACATTTTCAAATGACTTATTTTGGTTCACATTGCATGTAATTTCAGAGATTCAAAACCGAGAATTATGGAATTACATTGTTCATACAGTTTTTCCATTAGGGGGAACTCACCCTGAAACTGCATCTGCAGTATTTGTAACTCATCAGCCACAACAATACCTCTCTGATATTGTGTTCTCCATTTCAGATTTTTATAAATCCCTCTTCCGCTCTTTGAAGGAAAGGGACATAGTGTGGTACAGTGAGCAGAAGTCAGTTATATTTCAGTCCATACTCACAGCACTTTAAGATGACTCAGAGTTAACAACTATGAAAATAATCACAGTACAGCATCAGCGTAAACCTAGGTGAATTAATCACAAGTACACTAGTAATAAATTTAGTTTAAAATAAGACTGTTCCAAATTCATTGTCAAATGAGTGACCTGAAAGCCCTGAGATAAGGCAGTTAGCACATCCTGCTTCTAATAGAACAGGCTGTAGATTAAGATCTTTATTAAAAGCCACCTCAGTATTCCCATTGTTTGGCACCAGGAGATGCCAGTCCCCTACAATCCCAGTAAGAAAGGCACCCAGACTCTGTGAGGTGTCACTTAAAATGCTGTTTGTCAGCAGTAGCACTAAGGAAAGAATAGTGGAGATAATCTTACATCCCTTTCAATGGTGGGAGCCCCAGGAAGTGCAGCATCGAACAGGCCTCCAGTCTGCGCACAGCATCCTGCACAGACCCTGTCCATAGAAGAGAGTCCCCCATTTTGGTCATTTGAGCTATTACAGGATTTTCTTACAAGGAAACAACTCTGTTGTTAATCATTTCCACTGTCAGCTGGGATGTTCACATGAGAACTTCTTTCTGCAGTCTGTACCCTGCGGCTGAAGGATGTGAGCAGCATCGCACAAAGCACAGCACAGCAGAGGCCTGGTCCCATGCCGGTTAACTGCAGTGTGGGTCAGTAACTCCTCAGTGCACGGTGGTCTCTCGGTCAGGATCAACACATCAATGCAGTAAAATGTTAACTACTTTTAATTCTGGAAGTGTAGGGAGCAATAGGAAACATCTCTTTCTATAGAACTAGTTAGTCTCCTGACTTTGAAGCTGATTCCATATACTTTAAAAAAGTTTCCCTGAAAGTAAAATTAAAAAGGCATCCTTTAATTATTAGCTGATAAATAATGTGTGTGCAAGATGTACTGAAAAGATCTTCTGATTACAGGATCATCTTACCTAAAAGCTTTCAATTAACAAATAGTTGCACTAGATCACATGTTTATATTTATACTAGCGGGTCTCTGTGTGACTATACCCAGTATTAATCACCATGAAGACAGATTCAGATTCTAGAGAAATGCTACTAATTTTGTTCGCAAAGGAATGAAATCAAAGTAAAACAAGAACAATATTGTTTACAGTCAGAATTTCCTGCAGGATTGTTTGTCTTGATCGTTTATGCCACTGCTGTACCAGTGGCTTTTTCACTTGGATTGTGAATGTTGGCTTCACTGTGTGTTTAATTACCGCATAATTTATCAAATCACTTTGAAGCTTCTGTGGATATTATTTCTGTTAGGTAAAAACACCACTGCATCTTTTGGATTTAAGTCTGTTCTGATCCTGTTCTTATGGAAAGCTCTTGTTAACACCCTGCTACCTACCATATGCATGGGAAAGAACCTCTCATAATTTGCCAGGATCTCTAGCTAAGAATGTGAGGCATTAAACTGGTGACTATCGATTGCCTGTGGGATGAATAAACTCAGAATTTATTAATTGTCCTTCTGTTGTAGCCGAGTGTTTGGTTTCACTAGTAAGCAAGTGTTGCTTGTACCAGATGCTTCTGAGTACTATGCAGAGGATTCCTTATGGAATAGCCTCTCTACAGAGTACATTCTAACATCTGTGGTTGAGTTGGAGATGCTACAAGGCATAAGACTTAATTTTTTTGTAGTACTTTATCTTGCTTAAAGTAGTGTAGAATGTTACCTTTACCCCTTTAAATGCTTCTCTGTATTGTGTTGGTCTCTGCCTTGATCGTATCATTTTGTAAAGTCTTATGGGTAAAGTACATAAAAATGAGCACACTTGGTCAGAAGGTTCATTTAGGCCAATGTCCCGTTGCTGACAATAGTTAGTAGTGAATATATACAGAACTCAGTGAGATAATGGCATGTGTTTCATGATCCTTCCATAATATGTCTCCCAACCTCCAGCAGCCATTCAAGAATTTACTTACAAACATGCTTTTTGGTACACTTGATACATTAAATAGTCCTTGATATTTTTAAATTAATTTGTCCACCGATTTTTTTAACCCATGCAAGCTTTTAGTATAACTATTTTGCAACAAAGATTTCTGCAACTTAACAACATGGTGTTAAGAACCATCTCCTTTTGTTTTGAATTCATGCTTGTTACTTTTAATGACCTCTTGGGTTTGTATTGGAGGTAAGAATATCCATCTTCATGAAGATCTTTGTTCTTTTCTTGTTGTCTTATGTGCCTTGTAGGGGGCAAGAGAGGTGAAGGATGCACCATACCTACACAGAATGGTAAATCTGTGGGTATACCACAGATTTGTACAGTTGCATAGTTACATTTCAGAAGTCTTTTCCTAATAATGCCTAGCATTTGCTTTTTTTGAATGCTACTGAGTAGTGAACCAGTGTTTTCATAGAACTATTATAACCTGGTCTGGTTCTTGAATGGCAATTTCCCAGTCTTTGATGCTTATCATCATTAGCATTCCTAAAACGTTACACATTTCTTCTCTAATTGTATACAAGAAAGATAGTAAATGTGACTGGCCTGCCAATATTATTATATAAAAGGGTACTATATATAATAAGGTTAAAATATTCTTGTCTCTGAACTTCTATAATTGACATTGTCACTATTCGAAATGGATGAGACCCTATAGTGGCACTCTGCCCATGTCTTGAGTTTTTCCAGTGGGGGGAAAAAATAAATATCACAGTGTATATAAGACAAGGAAAAGAAAAATGGAGGAGCAAGCATCTCGTTCCAGGAAATATACCCTGTTGTGATATAATCAGTTCTGGTGCTGAAAGGGATTACAGTTGCATTTGACTGGAAGGACAAATTTTTATTAATTAAAATTAATTAATGAGTATTCCAGTCTTCTAAAAACATTCAGATAACAGTGTCTAAATACTGACTTGTACAGTTAGTTCTTAAAGCAGTGTTCAGTAAGGAAGAAAAAAAGACATATTTTAGTACATTCTTCTGTAAGACAGTAACACTTTTGAAAACGTTGTAAGAAAGAGAGAATGTCAAGAAACTCTTCTATTTTTCTAACTGTGCCAAAGTACAGAAAACATTTTAGTAATAGGTCTAGCAGAACACAAGGTAAAGACCTCATATTAATTAATTTAAACCTGTTCACTTTGTTATCTTTTCCTAAGTCTGAAACATGAACTTCTTTGCTTAACCAAACATTTCTATTCTATTGCATAAAGAGTAGAATCATCACAGCCCCATTTTAAACAAGTATCCAAGTTTCTTCAGCAAAGCCAGTAGTTTAGGTAGAGTATTTAATGGATTAAGCAGAACTGACTTCTGACTGAAGTCTGAAGCAGAACTGCTTTTTCTGACTTCTAACAGGTTTGGGATTTCAATCACTACTGCACTGATCACAGTTCCATAAGACCAAAGGTTTAATAACTATACAAAACCATAGATGGTTGCTGCCACTGCAGTTGGTGGGAACATATCTTTTCTTTTTTAATACACAAAGCTGAACACTATTTCCTATCAAAAGAAGGTGACCATATTTATAATTTAAGTATAGCACACAGGCTAAAAAAGTGTCTCTCAAAAACTGTAGGGATCTATTTCTTACTTATCAGGCTCACTTTTTAGAGTGGTGGTAGCATGAGAATGACTCACCATTCACCTTAAGATCCCTTTATTCTGCCAGAGCGATGAAAAGCAGCTTTAGGACAAAGGCATACCAGGCCTTAGATGTCTAGCTTGGTACTTCACAGAGCAATATTTCCCTTCCAGTTACTCCCAAGTATTCTGGGAGTTCACAGAAGTGAGGGTAGAAAGATGCTACTTTTATAAAAAGTACTGTTGTTAAAAGTGTTGAAATCGGCAAGCTTTCTGTAAGACATTCTTACTTTCCTTTTCCCATTGATAATGGTCTGTGGATCAAGTTGAATAAACTCTGGATGGAACACAAAAAACCACAGATTGCATTATAAGATAAAGCAGAATTTCCTATAAATGTCAACATTGCTCTGCATTTATGTTACGTTTGCCTATATACGTATTACTGTTAATGTAGGTATCTTCTTAAAAAGAAATCATAACCTCTTAGGAAGTGAAGGAAAGTAGTTACTCTATACATTAAATAATTTATTCATAAATATTGCTAAGGCATGCCCAGCAGTGTTAAATAAAAAGTGAGTATAGGTAAGTTTAGGATTATTATTTTGAGCTTCTCAAATTATTTTGTTAAAAAGCTTCACAAGAGGAATGAACTATGCAACCTGATACAGCTGCAGTGAAAAGCAAGGTTACACTCGCATACAATCTGAATACTCCTCAGTGAAATATTAACCTGATGTCTGAGACAGGTTGCTGAAATGCTTTCTTGACTGTTCTTTTCTTAATCTCCAGTGTCCAGACCAATCGTGCAAACAGGATTTGTTGGCTTACCTAGAACAGATCAAGCTGTACTCCCATCAGCTCAAAATCTGCAGTCAAGTTAAAGCAGAAATCCAGAACCTAGGTGGAGAGCTCATCATGTCTGCTGTAAGTAGAAGAATGGTATAAATTACTGTTAGTCAAAATAAATCTTAAATTTGAGTTGTGCTTTCCTGTGCTTGTGAGATGTTGCAGTGTAGTCCTGAATCTCGTTTTATTCTCCACTATTTTTTTACACTCACTTAACACGGAGAATCTAAGACAGTGAAGCATAAGACTGGTGGCTTAAAACGAATAGCAATCACTTGTGTGTTTGCTGGTTTTTTTTTCTTTTAAATTCTGAAAACACGTTCTTTACTGTTATTCTGGAGTAATTTGGTTTTAAGAACTGTAACCAATTCTAAGACAGTCGTTCATTTACTCACATGTATGGAGTACGCGTGTATGTGTGTCTATACACAAAAAGAAATCCCCGGAGTTGTACTTCCAGTTCAGAAGGAAAAGATGAAGGACATTCTACATCCCTACAGAAAATTAAGATCAAGGTGACTTGATTCTTGTGTAGATTTCTTGATTTTGCATTAAAGAGTCAATAGCTCTGTTACATCTAAGTATCATTAGCCCTGGGAAAGATGCTGTTTGTGATTCTGTGGAACAGATCTGATCACCAGCATTCATATAATGCCTTCACCTTCACATATTCTCAGATTGTTAGTGTTATTACCTGTAGCATATGGGATTATGATTTCAAGACAAAATCCACTAAATGGTACAAAAAAAATAGGTAACAAAAGCTTCCCACCCCACCCAAATTCTTACCATTTAACTACTCTCCTGTTTATGAAAACTTCACATTCACATAGTCTGGAACAGATATATCAGTAAAACTACCAGTACATTTTATATGGTTTATAATCTAATCAGAAATGAACCCTCTGTTGCTGATGTGGGGTCTGAAATACTTATTTTTGTAGGATATTTTTGTTGGCTGTGCAAAGGCTAATTTAGGGACTGTATTTAAACCTCAGGAACCTACAGCTAAGTAATTTTGAATTGAATGTATACTTTCTGAAGCAAATACTTGTTTTTTTCTTGGTTTCCAAATTACTCAGGTTTATCTTCATTATCTGTTTCTTCTTTCCTTTTACAAGCAGTTCCATGAGCAGTGTGGGTTAATAAAGCCAGATGTCATTATTTCATGCCCTTTGTGCATGTGTGCTCTGCTATCAATGCTCTCAACTTCCCCACCTTGTCTGTAACCTACCTCTGATGGTCCCACACAAGAGAAATAAATCCACGTCTCCCTCTGTGCATAGTTTCAGTACTTCCTTCTCCCACGCACCTGCACATAAACTGTTCACATCTTCTTTGAGTACTAGTGGTTTTTACATGTTCCCTCTGATCATGATAGATAGAGCGAGCCTTGAATATGCCATAAACCTCCCCCAAAGTCCACCACAGCTGTGCAACAAGCAGCAGTGGTGCAGATACAGACTGTGCAGTCTCTGCTGACAGGCTGTTGGCCACCTGCTTTGGAGCCAACATGAATTGGGCTGTCTCTTGTCTTTTTCTTTCTGGGACCTCTCATTTTGGCCTTTCCCCCCTCTTTTTTTTTTTTTTTTCTCCTTTATACAGTCATCTGATTTTGTGATCTGGTAGAGATTTGTTATTTGTCTTTGGCTTTCCTGTGTCTCCGTGAAATTTGGAAATCAGAGATTAGCTAACTATTAAGTTAAAAACTTACTGGAGGACTGACAAATGAACAAATGCACAACACAAACAGATAAACCTTATTTGCTTACAAAACTAGTTAAAAGATACAGCTTCTTGCACATCACAGTATGTATCTTTGTCCGCTACTTTGGCGAACGTGGACTCACATGGATCCTTGACCCACAGAAATCTGCATGCTACTGATACATACGATCTGTGATTTTCCTGGTCCTGTTTCCATTATTGAGCACAACTGATTGGTGCACTCAGTGCAAGAAATTTTGGAATCCTAGTTTGGTTCCTGCTATTTTTTTCTTCTGCTGTAATGATACTCATTGTTTTCTTTACTATTTTATTGTGTCACCCATATGTCAACAGTGTGAAGTACATAATTCTGGCACAAAAAAAAAAAATCTAGAAATGAAAACCCAAACTTACTTAACTTCATTAATAATCCCAGAGGTATGACTATAGATATTAATCGTGTTTCAAGGAAGGAAGGTAAGGACATGTATTGTATTCATCCAGAGTTTCCAGTTTGGGAAAGCAATTACTTGTTCAAATAAATGATTAACTCAGTCCCAGTTCAATAAACACACTTAAACAGGTGCTTAGCTTGGAGTCAGTGAAAATTAAGAACATGCTTAGAGTCCTGAACAGTTTTGGAAGCGTTTTGTGGAGTCAGGGTGAGATGGTGTAAATTCTGGTTGTTATTCTGTTAAAGCAATCTTGGAAAGTGCTCCAACAGTGATTTTTTTAATTATTTTTTTTAATAAATACAGGTGATATGGTTAGGCCTATAAAAGAGATTTAATTTTTTTTTAGAAGTCTTACTAGTCTAAATATCTGTTATTGGGAAGGAGAGGGCATTCATTGACTCTGCTCAGTTGTCCCTTTTCAGTTAAAATTGTGGTTATGTGAAAATGCAACCAAACCAAACTGATGGCTTTCCTGTAAGGCTTGTCTTTATATGTGAACGATCTATTTCTTTCTGACTTGCTTCAATTTTAGGAGAATTTAGGAATTAAAAATACATTGTACAGATAACATGATAAGCAAAGAGGGAGAGAAATTCTCTACTGATACAAAATGGCTGATTATTTAATTGTTTGGTGGTGGTGGTGGTAATTTTTTTTTTTGAAGTGTATTAGAAAGGGCACTGGAAAGTATACACAGGTTGCTCCCTCTTTCACTTTCACTGTTTCCCTGCGATTTCTCTCTCTGTGCCCATGTACATGTACACTCAAGACTGAACTACCTGATTCTTGGTCATCCCTCTGTTGTCTGTTGTTGGCTCCTTGCAGTTCCCTCCCTTTATCCCTCATGAGCTGTGATAGGTTGCAAACAAAAGAGCCAAGGACAAAAGCTCCTCTCCTGTGAGAAATTACAGATTTCTGCATTCAGATGGTTAACATCAACTTCCACACTGGCAAGTCAACTTTGCTGTACAGAGTGAGGATGACTGAGCAAAAGTTGATGACAGACCACAAATCCACACATAAAAGTGCTGTTGTATGGATGTAAGATGGCATTTACATCCACCCCACACTTCCCTTCCTCACACAGGTATGGAAGTGTGCACAAGGATTCTGTGAACACAAGGATCCTGTCCGAGATCCTGTGCACAAGGATCTTGGATTTAATCAGCCTCAAGGAATTTAGAAGTTTTTTTTCTCACAAGAAGTGTAGCAGTTCATGAAAAAAATAAACAAAACAAAACAATCCTCTATAGAAGCCTAAAGACCAAGTCAGAGCAAAGAATAGAGGGATGAAGAGCAGAGAATGCAGTCTTATTCTATGACATATTTGTAGATCTGTAAAAGAATGAACTGTCTTCTTGAAATAGAGCTATGACACAACATCTGTCTTTCTTGCTAGTATCTTCTGGATGAAGCTATGGAGGAGAAAGTAAAATAGACCTAAAATGGCATTACAGATTAATCTTATATACTATAATCTAACAGTGGTCAGAAATGCTATGTTATAAGGGTACCTCTGTCTCTGTCAACAGGAAGATGGATTCTCATCTATAGAAGCACTGTACCTAAGGAGGTACTGATGACTGCCAGATAGTTCAGTTGGGGACTCATTCTCGTAACAACAAAGAGCATTATGCATATGAAAAAGTACATTGTAATCCACAATCACAGCTCATAGTCATTCATTCTCCATACCCCATTTTCATCTGTGTCCCCCGTGCCCTTGATCTTGTCTTCCCTGTAACACTCCTCTGATAACTTCCCTGGAATGTTTCTTACTTAATACCCCTGCCATATTGTTATTTAATGGTTAAATGGGCCAGTTTGCCAGGGCAGCTGGAATACTTTGGGGGAGTATCCAGCTGATAGTCCTCCTAACTGCTCTTCTCAAGTAGCGGCTTTTTTACTTCAGGCCAGATAATCATGTAGTCTCCTACAGCAGTTAGGTGGACACTTGCCTTTCTCACTGCCCTACCCCGAGCTCCAGTACCTTCATTCTAGTCAGCAGGACAGTAATGCTCAGAGACACAGATATGTTGGTTATAAAAGGGTCATGTACAGAAAAAGAAAGGAAGAAAGAGATGTGTGAGTCATTAGCTTCTAATTCTTCATTCACTGCAGTTTGGAGGTTTTGGTTTTTTTTTTCCATTCAGTTAAAAATTCCTTGATCAGTACTGAGTCTTTCATGTTCCTGTAAAATACTTAATTTTTTAAATAATGCAGCTAGCATTGCCAGTTTGTAAGCCGCACAAGTAAAAATGGTGAGGATTCAGTAAGTCTTCACTAGGTGTGATTAAACAGGAAACAGACAATTCCTTCTATTAATTAGAATTCATTTGTCCCTCTTCAGGCACAAAATAATGGGGTAACATTTGCAGTATACAGATTGACAGTAATTGCATTCATTTATGTAGATAATCTAATAATTCATTTACAAGTACAGCACAATGATAGGCTTGCATGTTGACAGCTTGCTTTTTTCCCCAACAGTGGCTTTAAAGAGAATTATATCACAGGGCAGAAAATTAACATATCTTATATGTGAGCATTGTGCATTCTGACTTCTGCCAGGCAATTCTGTTTTGTGCTATTTATAGCCATTATCTTATTGTATTTTATTTTATATTGTATTTGAGGGAGACAAAGGTTTTTTGCCTTAAAAGGAAACAAAAATCTGGAAAAGAGAATTCTCAGAGTTACAGTATCACAGAATTTGATAAATGGCCTAGAAAAGATTTCTCAGGTTAGCCAGCCTTACCTGTGCACTGAAGGCTGTTTCACTCTACTTTTCCTGCAAATGTCTCATTTGAATTAGCTTTTACTCTTCCTGTTGGTATCTCAAGAACCAGACTTACTTAAACAGTGACATAAGTCCACTATTGTGCCACATGGAAGTGATTTAACCTCTAACTTCAT